CTCTAAATTCTACTTTTAATAAAGAAATCTGCAAAATAGGAATTCATGATTCTACGAATCTATAAAGGCCATACCTTGATGAATGCATTTTTAATTTAATACTAAGGAAAAAAATTAACAGGAATAATAAAAAGACATCCCTCTTCAACTCTCCAGTCCAAAAGCTTCCACTTCCTAAAATATCATTGCCTAAAATGTAGCTTTTAAATAGACATCAGTATGTCTTAAAAAAAAAAAATTAACATCTACAAGACTACAATGAACTATTAATGTGACCTACAATTCCAAGTGTACATGGAATGTTCTCACACATTTAGAAAAAATGTGGTAACATAATGTTAATACAAGAGAAAAATGACTGGGTACTTGAAAAGAAATTAGTTAAACCATACCAAAAGCCTAATCTATTATTCTCTACTAATTTAAAAATTGCAATAGCTGTTTTTAACTACATCAGTGCTTTATATCCTGGCTCTTCACGTACCACAGGAGAATTCCATTAACAATTACAGGAGACAAACTCAGGGGAAAAAAAGAACAATCAGAGAAACCAATCCATTCCTTGTGCCTATTCCAGATCTGTCAGTTCTGCTAATTTTCCTGCCAACTCCATGCTCCAGTCCTCTGCTCTCCTATTCTGAGAGTGGCAGCCTCTAACCTTTCATTCCTTTAATTACTGTAACACTCGATTTTGTATACATCTTTACCTTCTTGCCCAAAACCCAAGTTAAAAACAATGTTAGAAGAGAAAGACATTACCATCTGAAACACATCTGAGCCTTCATCAAAATCTACCATAGCAAAAAAAATCTTGTTGGTAAATGCACTGGAATATCTCCAGGAGTTTGCCAGAATCTGGTATTCCTCATCAGCTTGCCTGGAAAACACAGCAAGAGAGATGCTGTATCATGGGTTTGTCCAGAACACAGGTTATAAAGCTGAGGTAGCTGTGCCCACCCACTCTATTAATAGCTGTATTCCCCCCCCCAGTTTTCTACTGTTAAAAAGGAAGTTTTACTTTCAGGATTTAAGAAAAAGTTTTAGCTCAAACACTCATCTACAGTCAGGTGAAGCATTTGGCACTGCTGCTTTTTCAAATGCAAGGGCGAGATCTGTGGAGTCCGTGACCACAAGCAGAGGGAATTTCTAATTGAAATGTGAAATGAAACCCAGCTGTTCCTGATTTGTTTGTCCACAGAGCACCAAAACACGGCCAGGTGTGCCCTCCTTTCCATGTCAGAGGATGGCAAACCAGTAATTTCAACTGACAAGGTATAAAAATCACCCTCACAGACCTCTGCCACCTCCAGATTAATACAGGAAAGCCATAATATGGCTAAAGATCCAGGAAATTATAACTGTAAATAAATAAGTCCCAAACAACTTTTAGGCTGTATGGCCAGCAGTAATTCTATGAACATTTCTTCAGCAGCTCGTGCCAGGAAAGTTGAGCTTTCACCCTGTCTTTCTCCAGCAGTTATCAGTGTAAATACTGTTTCTGCAATGCAGGGATTATATTTTGGGAGGGAGATAAAACTAAAGATTATGTTGTTTTCTCACATACACATTACACATATATTCCCACACATTAAATTTCAAAGACAATACTATTATAACTTGCCATTTATATTTCTCCTACACATGTGAAAGTTCAACCCTATTCTTAAATTTCATTTCCTACAAAGCATCTGATGACTTTCAAGTTCTAATTTACGACTAAATGGAGCCCATACTTGCACACAACACACTGTCTGTGAGGCTGAAGAGCAGTGAACATCACAATCACCGAGTAATTTCTGGGTGGTGCCTTCACAAGGCGTCGAAATTTGTCTCCATTCATTCGGATAACAGATCTTTTACTGGCCCACTCCATCAGCTGGTTCACTTTTTCCGATAACACCATCTGAAAATAAAGTCAGAGAAACATCATCGTTTCTTTTCTCCAGTCTCAAAGCACAATCTCGAAGGTTTTTAGATTTGGTGTAACAAATATGTGCACTGTATTTCCTAACAACACGGGCCAGAGGATGTGAGACTTCACTGAGACTCTGGAAGGCATTCACAGATGCTTTTGGCACTCATGTCAGTATTCGTGATCTCAGCCACCTAGTAATGCACACAGAGTTAAGCACTTAGCGTGACACATGCTGGTGAAGTCCCTCAGCTCACTAGTCCTCCCTTCTGCTGCTAATTGCAAGATTTCTTTCAGCTGTACAAACTGCCCCAATCCCTCCGCAGCATTTATTCAAAACCAAGCATCAAACTGTTTCAGATTGCAAAACTTGTCGCAGTGGAATCAACCCCAGAGACAGAAGCTCTACAGTAGTAAGCTCAACATCTCATTTTCAGCATTGCTGGAAAAAAAAATTGATTCAGAACATATTTGAGGAACTCAGGAGTGCTCAACACTAAAACATTCCTTAAAAAGGAGCCAACCAATTCTATAACATTATACAAAGATGTATTAGACTGACAGACTCCCAAATGTTACATTTACCATAAAGCACTCCTCTACTCTTTATTAAAACCCTTCTTGAGATAAATACTTCAGTGGAAAAAATCACAAAATATCCTCAGTTGGAGAGACCCAGTAGGACCATCAAAGGGCAACTCCTGGCCCTGCACAGGGCAACCCCAAGAATCCCACCATGATAATAATGATAAAAATAATAAACTACCCTTCTTTGACTTACAACTTATACAAGATTAAATAGATATAGATATATATAAATAAAACTGACACAAATATAAACGCTTATACAGAGGGATCTTTCCAAACCCTAGGAGTCAAAAGTGTGGAAATAAATTGCACCTTCGTGATTACAAGCAAAGACCACCCATCCTCTCCGCCCCAAATCCCCTGCAGGAGGAAGACAACACTCGAACAGTGCTCCTAACGAGAACCGAAGAACCTGGAATTAAAGACACTCGGTCGCAGCCGCGCCCGCGGGTTCCCCTCAAAGCCGGCCGCGCCTGAGGGCGGGGAGCCGCTGAGAGGCCGGGCCGGGCCGCCCCGCCGGGCCCTGCCCCGAGCCCCCCTGGCCCGGCGGGAACCCGCCCCAGCAGCTGCCCACAGGGCTCCCAGCGGGGTCTCACCTCCTTCCGCCTCTGGCCCGCAGCCCCGGGCCCGCGGCAGCCCAAGAGCAGCAGCGCCGCCATAGCGAGCACCGGCACCGGCACCGGCAGTGCCGCCATGGCCGCCCCGCTCCGCCCCGCTCCGCCCCGCCCCGCCGGCAGTGCCGCCCCGCCCGCCCCGCGCCCACTGGCCGAGCCGCCGGCACGCGCCGCGGCACCGGCCTCCCATTGGCTGAGCCTGCGGGAGCGCGGCGAGCTGGAGCCGCGCCATTGGCGGAGCCCTGAGGGGAGGGCGCGCGCGCCCTGAGGGAGGGGAGCGATGGCGGCACCGCCCCCGAGCCCGCCCTGCCCAGCGCCCCTCAGCCGGCACAGCCCGGCCGGGGCCGCGGGGCAGCGCTGCACACCGTCCGGTCCAACCCCCCGCCACCGTGTTCTGAGCAGGTGACACAGTGTTGTCCACAAAAATCGGATTCGTTACCCAGTCTGCAACAAGCCAATAATGACACACTCGGGACAGACACTGGTTATTTGTTTCAGAGTTGTGCAAGCCTGGGTACCAGCTGGTATCAAGCATCCCAGCTATCAAAACTTTTTACTATTTATACATTTTAGCAAAGAAATGAATCAGTGTTCAGAGGCTACAAGTGACATAGTCTCTTATTAATTAATATTAGTTAATTATTCTCTCACTTCTCATGCTAATTAGTCCACATGGTCATTTTTTCTCTTCTTTCGGGTTGGTGGGTTTCTTAGCTCGGTGGTCTGTGAGTCGGTGGCCAGGATCTGCCCCTGCCGCAATCATCTTTCACCCAGTCAGAGCTGATGCAGCACAGTTGCTGAGTTGGGTTTATTAGTTTCTTCCTTTTCTTGGGAATTCTGCCAGATGTCCTTGTGGCCTTGTGTAAATTCTGTATTCTTTGTTCCCACTATCCGTGGTACATCCTTCTTCCAAAGCTTTGCTAACTTCTCCACAGGTCTGAGGTCATTGAAGCATGTCCAGCCCTAGACTTTAACCATGCAATTCTATCAACAAGTAATTTTCTAACGTGGACATCACTTACAGGTTGTTGGCTACTCCCTGTTTCACGGATTAAATCTCCTTTCTTGTTGATTAGGCTTGAAAGTATCCAAAAGTATCCAAAGATCAAACATCAAAGAACATCCTTGCTTAAGAAATTTTACATATTCCACATTTTGCAACATCAGGAACTGTCCAGGTGGGTTTTGAATGTGTCCAGGAGGGGAGACTCCTTGCCCTTCCTGGGCAGCCTGTTCCAGTGCTCTGCCACTGTCAGTGTAAAGTTCTTCCTCATGTTGAGGTGGAACTTCTTGTGTTTTAGTTTATGGCCACTGCTCCCCGTCCTGTCGCTGGGCACCGGCAAAAGGAGTCCAGTACCATCCTCTTGGCACCCATCTTTTTTTTTTGCACATCAGTAACTTTGTAATTTTGACTTTTTTTTTTTTGCACATCAGTAACTCCAAAAAAAACCCCAAGACCAGAAAAGAAATGTTGAATAAAACTCCACAGAGCTTAATTAGTAGCTCCCCAAAAGAGATGCACTTGCTTAATCTTATATATGCATGTATTTGCTGGGTTGCGTGTGACAAATATTGTTAAAATTGTAACCCCTCTGGAGTATTCCTCAGCTGGTGTGTGGTGGGTTAAGGTTCTGAAACCAAATCGCCAGAGTCACGGGGATTTACTCATGCTTTTATTTGTCTATTCGAGCACATTCTGAAAATTATTTCTGATTTCTATTCGCACTAAAATCCTTGGCTTTAGCAGCTCGGCACTTTCATGCGTTTAAATTCACACCTTAAAAATAAGAAACAAAAAGGGGTGTCAGAAGTGGGATTCGAACCCACGCCTCCATACGGAGACCAGAACACCCAAACCCGCGGCGGGAAGGCGCGGAACGCCTTGAGTCTGGCGCCTTAGACCACTCGGCCATCCTGACACTGCGATGATTGCGTCCACCGGGACTCCCTTACCACGCTTCTCAAGGCCGCGCCCGCTTCTGTGTCCTCCGGCCTCTTACGGAGAGCCCGTCCGTGCCGGGGAGGTGCCGCAGAGCCGCCGGGTAACCGCGCTCTTTGTCGCGGCCGCGGAGCTGCGGCCGCCGCGAGGAGGAGCTCGGGGTTACCCACAGGCCCCCGCCCGCCGCCACTTCCGCCGCGACCATTTTGTTCTTCAGCGCCGTGAAGGGTACGCGCTGCGCTCGCACCATGTTCCCCGTGGCCAGGGCCGCGCTGAACCTCGCCGGTAAGGACGGGGGCGGCTCTGGGGGTGCGGGGGGTCCCGCAGGGGGTCTGCTCCGGGTCTGTGCCCTTCCCCGTCAGGACTGTCCTTCACAGCCCCCGGCTCGCTGCGCTCCCGGGAGGGTTGTGAGGGCACCTCAGGGGCTCTGGCGTCCTTCGCCTCCTGCTTTTTTTTTTTTCTTTCTGACTCTAGTTGGATTCCCTTCCTCGGCGATTTATTTTCTTGTAACTGGAGGCACATCCGGATCTTGTAACCTGAGGTGAACAAAGCATAGTCAATACCCATCCCTTAAACTCAAGGTTAAAGTCACCTCTTCAGTGATGCAGATTCCCCAGTGCTTAATCTGGTCCTCGAAAATCTGGTCCTGGTTCATGATGTGCTTAGCCCTAGGTGTTTGCACTTCAACGTGTCTCGGTAGATATTCAGGCTTTTTTATGTTTTAAAAAACCCTAGTGCAGCCTCATAGAGCACGCGAGGGCTGTAGCAACGTGATGTGTATCGCCATCATCTTCTCTGTTCATAGCTGGGTAAATGCAGACCACTGACTTGGAACTAAAAGATTATAGTTTGTAAAGTCTATCTTTATGCACGTCACTATCTCATCAAAGACTTTGTACACAACTATAAACAATATCTCTGTTTTGTAGCTGGCGTGATTCGTCACTGTTGTCTTCTCCTTAATAAATGTAGCCTTTATAGTGTACATTTATGATGTACATCATCTGGAGATACCTTTTTGTATTTTATTCTCTGTTATTTACTTCATGCCCACAGTTATTTCCACTTCCTTCTTCACCTCCCTCCCCTCCTTTAAAAAATGCTGAAAGAATGAGGAAGGTGTTACCCATACCTGCTATATTCAACCCCATAATTTGACGGTGAATTTCATCCTGAAAATGCTTATATTAGTTCCCATACTGACAGGATAGATATTTATATATGGAAATCTGAAAATGTTATGTGCTAAGCAAAATGTTTTATGAGAGAAACAGTAATATTTAAAAAGGTACTTCCACACTGAAGGCCCAAACAAAACATATCGATGAAAAAGGTAACTCAGAGGATTGGGGTTTTTTTACTGGAATTAGACATAAGAAATAACTTTCTAGTGAGAAATTGAGAGGGCTAAAAAAAAAAAAAAAAGTAAAGGATTTGTGCATATTCTTTGTTTCTGAGTCATTCCAGGGTTCTAAGTCCAAAAGATTAATTTTTTTTTCAGCTTTTTTTAGTCTTTTAATGCTAATGCTTTCCTCTCTGTTGGTGGAAAATGAGGACTGTGAATGGTTCGAGTGTGTGTTTTAGTTGATTTCTGTGCTTCTCTTTATCATTCCTTAGCTCGTGGCATCCAGCACACTGCAGTCAGACAAGCTCATCGCAAGCATGAGCCGAACTTCCACGATAAATATGGAACCTTGGTCCTGCTTGGTGGAGCTTCCGTTTTCGTCAGTGTCTGGGGATATGTAAGTTGGTTTTTTCACTGGTCAGTTGTGACTCCAGCTGTAAACTTCAAAGGTATCAAGTTTCATGAAGGCTTACTTGTTTGAAATAAGTGGTCAGAATTTAGGAGCTTCTGCTGTAAATGGATAGGGATGTGATAGAGGTGAAAGTTGTGTTAGTTCATGTCTTGATTTTGAGTTGTTACACGGCTTTCTGTGTCAGTCTGTTGCCCGATTTGAAAATGTATGAGAAACACAACTGATCTCTGTTTTGCTTGGGATATCTAACCTATACAGCTACGAGTTTTAGTAGAAAAATTTCTAGATTAAAATACCAGTATGGTGATGGGATTTTAAATTCCAGATTCTTTGTGCTAAAACTGGGTATTTTGAAAGAGAAAGCTGAAATATTTAAATACTGTTCAATATAAATATATTCCACTTGCTTTATTAGAAAATTAATGAGGTGTTGTGTTCTAATACAAAAAATCTAAACTGAAAACAATAGAAATAGCCCTCTTTTGGAAGGTTTCCTTAATTTCAGAGTTAGTAATCTTGGGTTTTATGCTCTTACAGGTGCTAACACAGCTCGGAATGGAGTGGGGCTTGTCACCTGTTGGCAGAATCACTCCAAGAGAATGGAGGGAGTAACAGCCTCTGCTTCTAATGAACTGCTCTGAACTTTCACTGAGAAAATGGTCCTGTAATGGCATTTGTTTCCTGATTACCACTTGTGCAGTGGCATTCCTGGTCTAATAAACATACCTAGAAACCTGTCTGGCTCTTCCAGGTTTCCTCTATGCTCAGAGTCTGATGAAGTATAAGAAGTAGCGTAAAAATTTAAAGTACTTTTAGGTAATCCCAGTTGTTCCTGTAAAGTTCACCAGTGGATTAAGGACAAATCCAGAACTTTGCTGAGTTGGCCACTTGGTCAGATGTGTGTGTAAATCAACCTCACTGCATTCTCACTGCAGAGTGCACATCCCTTTACCTCTGACTTGTAATGACAAAGCTGAGATCCCTTTTTTTAAAACAGAAGGACTCTTATGTCTTGAATCACTCTGCCAGTAATTGCATCTGTGGCCTCTGAGGTGTGAAGAAACTAAATTCAATTTTGAGTCAGGCTCCATGGAAAGAGGCAGTTTTGAGAAATGTGACTTTCCTAGTGAACTCTTATGGAATCACAGACTGGTTTGGGGTGGAAGGGACCTGGGAGCCCGTCTTGTTCCAACCCCCTGCCTCTGCATTTAACTTCTGTGTAGGGTCAAAGTTATTAGAGAAATGAGGTGGAAAAACAACAGTTACTGGTTCATGCTGGTACTTGATTATCAGAGAATCTCAGGATGGTTTGGGTTGGAAGGGACGTGAGAGACCAGCCAGTCCCACCCCCTGCCATGGGCAGGGACAACTTCCACTAGCCCAGGTTGCTCCAAGCCCAG